TGAGTGTCAGCTACATACCACAAACAAATGCTAAAGTGTAGATGCTAATGCGCTCTTTTTGTGATTCTCTCCTTCCTCCTTCTAGCCTGCCCGATAATCTCTCCTCCTCTCTCTCCCTGCTCCTAATCCGCTCCACAGCCGTGAAAACTTTCCATGAGAGAGAGATGACCCGTTGTAATGGGCGGAGGCAACCACCCACTCTCACAGCCGCGGAGGGTCCAACCAACAAACACACACACGCACACAAACACACACACACACACACACACACACACACTAGACCTTAAACCCGTTTGGCTTAGTCTAGATTGCCAAAATAAGACGTACTGAGCTGGGAACACGCTATGATTTAAACCCCATTATAAACCTTAACAACTGACTTTTTAAAGGATGTGGAGAATCTGCCCTGCTATGTGACATGGACATGGACAGTCAAAACACTTGTCTGGTGCTGAAACGATTAGCTGATTAAATGATTAGTCAATTGACATAAAATTAATCACAAAGAATGTTGAATTATATCGAAAGAAATGGCAAACGAGTTTCAGTTTGTAAACTTGCTGCTTTTATCTGTTTATTTACCCTTGTATATTGAAGGTCGTTTGATTTTGGACAGTTGGTCAAAGAAAACAAGCGATTTGAAGCAGCTTTTCAGTATTGAAAGCAGACATTTTAAAGATGGAAAATCATTCAGTCATTAATTGGTTAAAGCCATTGTTGCAACTCTAGGTGTAATGGTTTTTGTATAAAATATTTTTATTTCTTTCTTTATTATTATTATTATTATTTTTATTTTTTACAATTTTTGAGCTAATTAACTACACAAATATAAATGTCTGGAAATGGATAGAGTCTGTTGAAAGACACAGCTACCATTAAATATTTTCATGAAACTTCTCAGGTTTTTTGCACTACAACTAATTGAAGTTACACAAAGTAAACAAAGACCAGATCTACTCAGCAGATCTCTAAAATAACAATATTTTGTCATTCAGAAATAGGTGACTTTTACGTGTCCTTACAGCTTCATTCAGACATGTGATATTTGATACCTGGTGCACGAGAGAGAGAGAAAGTTTAAAATGTAATGGACAGCAAAAAAGAAATTCTGTTCTCTCGCAGGCTGTGTCACTGATGGATTTTTAAACCTTTTTTGCTATTGAAGGCTTAATTAATGACAACTGTGAGTGCGAGTGATGCTCATCCTCACTTCTAGCAGTGAACCCACTACATTTTTTGCATCACTTAAGTTATTACATAGCAAATTCTACTGTTTGTTAACCTTGTGCTGCTGCAGCCTTTATGTCAATCTGACAGCATTCAATTATTGGGACTTGTGCCATGCTGAAAGTGATACAGAAATGTTACTATGTCTGACCTTGTAAAATTGCAGTCGCAACTTTTACGTAAAAGTGACCAGGTTGCTTATTCAGACACAAGACTGACATGTCATCATATTGACGAAACAAGTTGCATGTCTGAGGGGGGGATAGACTGTACAAAAATCTGTGTATTAAATTTATGTTGGTGTTTAACTGCGTGTAAATAAAACTTTTTATATATAAGAGAGAAATAATGTTTTCTCATTAATAACTTATATAGGCACATTTTTTAATGGCGTGGTCCTTTATGACCAAGTTTAGATGATAAAAGCCCCCCCACAACATTTTGTTTTTGTTGGACAAATATGCTAGGGACCATCTTCCCTGGGATGCCCTGACACACACACACACACACACACACACACACACACACACACACACACACATAAAATACCCCTGCTAGTTAGTGAAAAGCCAGGCTAGCCACCGTAGCATTTCCTCTAGACCAGCTTCTCTGGTCCTGCTTCAACAGATGGCCTGACATGTCCCTGGACAGGCCTGTTAAGGTGGAGGGAGGGGGGTGGGGGGAGTTGAAGGGGGACGGAGGGAGGTAATGGGGGGTTGGCACCCTCTTAGGAGGACTGAGGGGGGTGTGGGGTGGGTTCGGGAGGAGACATATGTCCACAGCCCTGGCCCCTGCTGACGGACTGTCTCTGCTGGCTGCCTGGTGCCTGGCTCACTATCCCACTCACGCGCGCGCACACACACACAACATTTTCTTGTCACTTAGGAGGACATTGCATTGACTTACAATCATCCCGTGAAAACTAATTGCCATCTTAAAACTATAACCAAAAGCCAAAACTCAACCCTTGTGGACCAGGTTTTTGTCCCCAAATGGGTGGTGAGTCCTCATAATGTGACTGTGTGAACAGATTGTTGTCCCTGCAATGTTAGTAATATAACTACAGACACACACAAACTTACTCCACTAAGCCTGGCAGCCCGCTGCAGCTCCTCTCCCTCTCCATCTGCACCTAAAAGACCCATGCGACCTGACAATGAGGTGACCATGTCACTGCCTGAGCCGAAGCAGAGGGATGGAGAGAGGGAGAGAGAGAGAGAGATGCAAGACGAGAGAGGAGAGGGAGGGGATGAGGGAGGGACACATTAACAAGCTATAATCTCAACTGCCTTATCCATAATGCATTGTGTGGGCCAATTTACATGGTGCTGGTCCCTCTGGGAGAAAGGAGATCATCCATCACATTAGTTTATTAGCTCCCTCACACTCTCTCACAGATGCACACACACACACACACACACACACACTCATCATTATTTGCTTCTGCCCATCCTTCTCTCTCTCTCTCCCTCTGTTCTGTGGGCCTGTTTTGTCATGGTTGTTGTTTCAAACTGCTGCTGTCTCTATAAAACAACTCCAAGCCGGGTCGTGTTGTGCAGACTGTGACAAGGATGAAGGGATTTTATTTTTTATTTTTATTTTTTAGAAAATTCAACTGTAGTTTATTTCTTAAATGCAACAGCCTCTGGTGTCAGTAAGCCGAGGAAGAGTTTGAGGATTTAGTACATGTCAGAAATCTGACGCTGAGAATTGTTTTTTGAAGCTAAACTTTCTTTATGTTTAAATATACACAAATCTCACTGCTACAAATCATTAATCCCTGACAGTTTTTCTTCAAATTAACATAAATTAGTCACTTTTTAGAGGAGATTTAAGACAAAGTCTTCAAATACAAACATTCTGGGAAAGCAGCTTTTTGGTAAACTTTTCCCCAACTGGCTAAAAGGCCCGCTATGTATTATATTATCAACTAATATCAGGACTGAGCCCTCTGTTTGCAAAACAGGAAAATCATCATTTTATTCTGTCCAAATGTACCATGATGTTTGATGAAACATTCAAGATGTACTTATTGAACTGCAATGTCAAATAAATCTCTGTCCATGTTTTAAATGTTTTAAAGTAAAGCTTTTATTTTATTATTTAGTTTTATTAATGCAGATTTCAGTTACATTTAACTGAATTGCACTTCTTGAATTTCATTGAAAGAAATTATAATTAGAAATGATGGTTCAAAATCTGAATTTTTAGGCATCTTTTTGCACACTTGCAGTGTTTGAAACCACTTGTTTATTTTTCTTATAAGATACATTTCTATTATTAAAAATATAATTAAGTTTACTTAAAACCAAATTCAGTTTGTGTGTGTGTGTGTGTGTGTGTGTGTGTGTCTAATGGCTGGATCGACTGAAGTTGCATGTGTCAGTGAAATTAATTGTTGGCACCCTACCCGCGCGCGCGCGCGCACACACACACACACACACACACACACACACACACACACACACACACACACAACCGATCCATCAGATTCAGCCGTCCTCCTGTGAATAAAAAGAGCTGTAATTGCAATCATATATGTGGAGCCTCAGCACTGCGCGCCATACCGTACCATTAGTATCACAAATAAGTAATAATTTGCTAATGACAACATTATGTTGAGTCAGTTTAGGGGCAATTAAAGTGAGTGATATTTACATATGCCCAATGAATCACCGAGCGTGGCAGTTCGGGCGGCTCTAATGAATATTCATCCAGGCATTTCTCCCCTGCTCGCTGCAGTTTATAAACTGAATTATGTCTGATTTGCCCTTTTAAAAAATGAACATAGGCGCATCTCCCACAAGGAGGCGGCGAACAATAACGTCTGATTATAAAAATGTTTTACTGCTAAACTGCCGGTGAGGAGACGGCGGCAGCGTGGTTAAAGACTCACACTTGGAGGGGTGCGGAGGAGGAGGGAGAGCCCACCTAAAATCAATCCGATTTAGTCTCGGCCTGTCTGCCTTTTTAGACTGACATAAATATTTACAGTGTGCATTCAGATCGGTCTGTAGCCTACATCATGAGGATCAGACTGAACATGTAATTGATTTGTTTTACTGGCGGTAGTTTGTCTTCAGATTATCCCAAGTGGAGGCCACGGTTCACGCCGATGGGCTCGATTTCCATAAGGAGAGCGGCCCGGCTCTCTGCGAGCAGACCGGCTGCCTTCACCACCACAGCCGGGGATTTCTCCGGTAATTGCCCCCGGTATGTGTTTGGGTGGGTACTGACCTCTCAGGTGCAGGATCAACAGGCGACATCAGTTTGCATTCACGGAGCGCTTAACAAGATGGGCTGCACGTTTATCATGCAAATAAGCAGCTCTCTATAGCAGGTGTCAGCACACACCCGCAACATACACACACGCACATACAACGTGCACGTGCACTCATGTATGCTCGCATGCAGCGTCTTTAGGACTGCAATCGTTATTTAATTGACAAATGTAACCACAGACACGTGAGGGTTTAACCTGACAAATGCAGATGTACCGCACCGTGACCAGTTAAGTGTAATAGAAAAGGTGACTTTAGGTGGGTTTACCCCCAGCTATAGGCTATGCAAAGTCTTAAAACCTCATTTTGCAAACATTTAATCTATAATAAGCTGTAGTTTATTAGATATGCCTCTGTGTTATCATGTACACATATGGCCAGGAAAGGATATTTTTGCCATGATTCTTTTTTATCCAGATTTTATGTAACTGACTTTTGACTTTTTGAATTTGGACAAATCAAGTACAGGAACAAATATTCACAAGCCATGAGTGATAAGTAAATTATTTATTTCTTGTTTTTGTTGTAAACAAATACAAGCTGTCCGTTTCATTTTTATTTTTTAAACAAATAAATATTAGGTCATAGTTTTTCAACTCTCAACAATGTACCTCTACCCAAACAAATAACATTCCCCACAAGCTTTTAAAGTGCTGAGATGTGCCATGGCACATTTGTTAAATTTAAGGTTTAATGGATTCTTCAACAGTTGTAAATAACTTAAATAAAAACAGCCTTTTTTCCCTCATGATGTCAGTCAGCTCAGTCCTTCCTCAACACTTCGGTTTGCTTCTGGCTTCTTTGCTGTCTGACTTAAATGTATCTGCTGCCATCTTGTGGTTTAATTATTGAAGCAAACATGCCAGACACATATCTTTGGAATACCACTTCAATCACTGATGCAACCACTAATAACTCTATAATTTCTTGATCCCAGAGGGGGAAGTCTCTGCTAGCTTTTACATGGGGATCGGAGGTCATAGGTCAGGGTCAGCTGTAGAAATGTCAAAGCAGAACGGGGAGGAGTTCATGCTGCAACAAAAGTCCAAATTAGCTTGTCCTCCCTCTACTGTTGACATTTCAGCTTACAAGTAAAACCTTCTGTCTCTTAGCATAAGGAGAAATGTGAGGCATCAAACACAGTGTTAAAGTTAAATGAATCCCAACATGTTTAAAACCAAACTAAACTGTCATTCAAATTCTTGACTGTTAGAAGCAGTCTGGGATTGTTCCACTTCAGCTGGACAGGATTGGCAGGTTCCTCTGGCCCCTCAGAGGGTCTCTCATTAGTTGCCTTATTTTGTTCTAACATGCTGATAAACAGCTGTGCGAAGTTTTCAGCCACTTGGTAAAATGATGATGATTAAAGCTACTGGACAAGGAAATAAAATATTGTTTTGCGTGCGTGTGTGCCAAAATGTGCTTTTACTTAAAACAAATGGAAAATCTCCTGAACACATTCAGTTTTCTTGTTAGTTTCTATTCAAAGCTGGACCGTTTCCCTTAGTCGACTTTTAGAAAATTACTGCAGTTTTGCATAAAAAAAAAAATACCGGGATGTTTTGCAGTGGTTTGCTCTGCGGTTTCATTGTGTCAGTGCTTCTTTGTGTTCACTCTTAGAAAAGTTTCAGAAGTAACACTTAACTCAGTGGCTTTAATTACAGATTTGTTTTGTCTTCCTTACTTAAGAGCCTTTCTTTAAGTGTAACATAATCTGTAAAGTAACGACCACTTTATCTCCCAATTTAAGAGGATAAAAGGAATATTCTTAAACCAAAAATGTAAATGTGATGCGCAGGCCTGCAACAAAAAAAAGTATTACTAAAAAGTATTACATTTCATCCAAAATTTAGGATCCCTGTGGTGCAAAAGTGATTGTTTGTAGGTCATGAATACTGTATCATCTTCCTTCTGGTCCTCCCTCCTGTATCAAAGTAACTTGGTGTCAGTACACAAAGCTGACATATATGACAGATGTCTCTGGTAATTTTGGCAGGTGGAGGTCAGGGAAGGGCAGCACGCCATCATTGTCTATGTGAGTCTGGACTGTGTAGGCTTTGACCTCCGCTCCCCACTCCAGTGCGGAACTGTGGATGATTCCCAGTCTAGCCTGTTCGTGGTAGGCTGCTCCAAGCTCCCTGCCCAGGAAGATGTCTTGGATTTGGGGTGAGGACAAAGCAAAGGGATCTGTCTTCATGTCCAGAATCACGTCCACGTTTGTGTCTCTATCCCTGTTGCATCTATTTGTGTCAAAGTGAGCACCGTTATCTCTGTCTGGGTCAGCGTTTGAGTCTGTGTTCTTGGCCCTGTTTGCATTTGGATGGTGGTGATCTGAACTCTGCGACAGGTTTACCACTGTCAGCCTCTCCAGGTGCTGCACAGCGAAATGTCCCTCCAGGGAAGAAAAAGGTGTCCCTCTGATCCCTCCGGGGCCACAGTGGATCAGGGTGAGGTGCCTCACCTCTGAGTTGTTGAGCAGACGTGCCGTGTTTAATGGCGACGTGAACCAAACAGTTAAACGTCTCATCCGGAAAATGGGGGAGGAGTGCGACTGGGGGCGGTGCAGCGTGGAAAGCTGGATGTCCTTGCATTTGCAGTCTGCAAGTGAAGAGACGCTGCAGGGCTGCGGGTTTTGGCTGCAGGAGTAGTAGAAAAAGCTGTTATGGGTCACATAAGCCAGGCGCAGGTCAGAGGGCTGCAGAGCCACAGACACACACAGCAGCATAGAGAGGAGAGGGGCTGGAGGGCTGAAGGCAGGCATCACAGCTGGAGGACAGTCTCAGGTAGCATAGTGATTTGTGTTCATGCGTGGATCTGTGTAGGCGGGGTTTCTATAGAGAGCCTATAGAAAAGAAAAAAATATACATTAAATGAAAAAAGTAAAGCACACAAAAACACACACCCACTACTGCCATGATCAAAGAGATGCCGAATAAGTTTTTTTTAAATCACATTTTATGTTTGGCCTGTTTGCAAAAGCAGTACTCAGACCCTTTACCTCAGCACAAGTAGTAATGCCACAATGTAAAAAAATGTTTCAAGTATATAAAGCTAATTATGCAGAATCCAGGGTGTTAAATTTATATATATGGAACCTTAATCAGACTGTAGGCTATTGTCAAATGTTTTTAACAGGTATTTTGTTGAATCTGCCAAGGGCATGGCATTAAGGAAGTAAGTAAGGCAGATATGGAAGTGTGGTGGCAATTCTGTTCAAATGAACAACCAATGCCTTGTCTCTCTATAAGTTTATTCAGCATCTATAGAGTGACTCACAGCAGCTCGTATACATCAGACCGCATGAACTCTCGGAGTGAGTGAGAGATGTCTCCAGCAGTGTCTCTTTATCCTGTCTCAGTGTCATGTATTATCTTAACACATTTACACGGTATCACTGAGCTCTGAACAATGTGACATTCTGCCCTGTCATTCCACGAGTTTAACACCACACAGCACTTTGAGTCACTCTGAATCCAGAAGGTCACATAGATCAGTAGATTATTAAAAATTGTCAATACATCTAAATTTGCTAATTCATTTCCACCCTTTTTGTGCACAAAACATGATTATTTAGATTTCTATAACCAATATAACCAAACATTCTATGTGATCAAACAAAATAATTGAAGGCAGTTTTTATTATCAGTCAATCAGTGGAATTTTTCAGGAAGCAAGGAAGTAAGGAGGGAAATAAGGAAGTAACCATAAGGAAGTAAGTAGGAAGATAAGGGAGGATGGTAGGAAGAAATTAAGGAGGTAAGGAAGTAAGGATGAAAGGAAATAAATAAGGAAGGAAGGAAAGTAGTGTGTAAACAAGGAATGGTTTAAGGAAGAAATTAAGGAAAGATGTAAGGAAGGAAAGAAGTAACTAAGAAGGTGAGAAAATAAGGAGGTAAGAAAGAAGGAAGGACGCAAGTAAAGATCTGCCTCTGTCTGTGAAAAAAGGTGACTTTATTTACATGTTATATTTTAAGGACTTTAATCTGACAGCAGACATTGAAGTAAACGCCTCCACATAAGGGATTCAATTCACAGAACAACTGGCAGAGTAAACTGGTCCTGTGTGGTTTGTGATTTCCTGGTTGGTGGTGAGAGTACAGGCGTGGGAAATGTAAATATCTCTCAGTCCTCTGCCAGTTACACACTGATAGGGTGTGTGATCAGCACAAAGCAGCCTGGGCCTGTGTTAGATGTCTGTTAGGTTGGCTGCAGTACGTTGTGTTTGTGCTGTGCAATCTGTCTGTTTAGAGGCACTGTGTGACAAAAAGTTGTTTAACTTTAGAGCTGTGTGAGGACTGATGAATGAGGCAGTGTTGGTTGGGGCAGAAGACTACCAGTTTGAAAATGAAAAAAATCTGGAGGTGTGGCTTCAGAAAGAAGCACACCCGGATCCCAGGCTGAACTGTCGGTGGCTGAGTTGCATTGTGGGTAATGTAGGCAACCAGGTTGAGACAAGGAAGATGAATATGTGGAATAAAAGACGAAATCTCTTTCTTTTCCTTCTTTTAAAAAAAAATTATTAATTGTTAGTCAGTGCAGATGCTAAATCGGAGGAATACTCTTTTGATTTAATTAACATGAGAAGGATCATACAGAGATTAAGAATGACAGAAAAAATAAAATGGATAGGACACTCAGATGAATAACTGTATTGTTTCATTATTTGAGCCACAGCTGCAAAGAGGCTACAAAAATCCACTTCATATTTGGCTGGATTGATAAATGCTAAAATAAGATGTTAGTGTGGAGCATGTTTTGTAAAATGACTCTCTTTATTTTTTGCAGTTACAGCCCAGTTCCAATCCTGTTTGAGCACTGACAGACAGAGACTGCTGTTTACTGTTTTCAGTGGCTTTTTCTTGGCAGTTTCTTAACAATTTGACATTTGTCCATGGCAAGATCACAAAAGGCCTGGTTTTAAATCAGACAAATCTTCCGGCTCTATAAGGGACACTGACATGGAGCCTGTTGTACAGACAGACAGAATTTGTCATCATTAGTTCAGACTGCCTGTTGTGATGCAAAGCTCTCTGGTGCCTGACTGGAACTTAATCAGGCTCTCTGTGTGAAGGATAAATGTTTTCTTTTTTCTTGTCTCTGTGTTGATGTTTGAGCCTTTGTCACTCTTGGATACACTTAAACTGTAGCTGATACAATATACATCATCAGCATGATATGTTCAATGCCAGGGGAATAAAGTAACTAATTACATAAGTAGTGTAATGAAGTACAGTTTAGAGATACTGTCCTTGAAAATTTCCATTTTATGCTACTTTATGCACAAAGGCAAATATTGTACGCTTTACCAAAGATGCTCTATGACAACTTTGTATCACAAGTATGTCAAAATTTTGAATTGGATAGAGGACGGATTTAATTTATGGACTTCTACTTCTTAAGGTAAATAATCTATTTGAAAACATAGCTGAAAACAGTTTTTTTTCCTTATATAGTTCACAAAGTGACACTACAAACATATAATGATCTTACAGAATAAGATGCATTGCTGTAAACTACCCAATAGTATATAAAGCAGTTAAATTAGTAAAAAAAATATATTTGTGCAACCTTAAACATCTACAGCAGTAAAACGCAACGTACACATTAATACGGCAGCAATATTCAACCTAAAGCATCATATATAATAAATAACAAAACACTGCATTTTTCAGCAGAATGTGTACTTTTACTTTTTATAACATTTATATGCATTTTGCTGATAATACTCGCATACCTTTACTTAAGTATAAGCTTTTGAATGCAGGACTTTTACTTGTAGGGGAGTATTTTCCCAGTGTGGTGTTAATACTTTTACTAAAGTAAGGGAACCGAATGATTGTGTGATTGTCACTGTCATGAGTCATGTGTGGTGTATAACATATGTGCATTTGACCATTACAGTTTAAAATAACACTCTAGCAGCTGGATAGAGGATTAGTGACCTTTAAGGGGAGAGCAGAGGTCAGTGGTTACGTGGAGGCTCAGACCCTTATCTGGTGTCCAACAAGATGTCTACACTTATCATATAGAACTTTACTCTTATATGGATAAACTTTTATGATCAAGAACAGTGTCAAGCGGATTTCTTCTCAACACATCATCGCAGCATTATTGTTCGGACACCACACATGTAAATAAACTCAGCTCTTATTCAGTTCAGGTCAACTTTCACACAGGGGATTCTTGCTATTGGAGTAAAATGCTTTGAGGTTGCTTCCCTGTGTGTTTCTCATCAGTATTTTCTTACCAAGACGTGAAGTGAGGGGAAGTGAACATACTGACAGCTGGTTTATATCAGTACTTTGTCTCTCTCTCTCACACACACACACACACACACACACACACGTCTAGAAAATTATAACTGTGGTGATCGCTTTGAGATTCCAGGGAAAACATTGTTTTGAAATCTTGGCTTTTGCAAAGGTCTGGGTACATTTTCTGGTTTGGCAGTAATATCAGTCCAAGGAACTTTCTGCCTTATTTTGAAGCCAGGACAAAGTTGACCGCTACATTCTTCCTTTGGCCTTGTGTGACACAAGTGAGTTCAACATACTGTAGATCATCTACAGTATGTTTACCATCTAGTTTCCCCTCTTTTATTTTGCCTCTTATTCCACATTGTCTGACAGTATCATATGCATTCTGTTTCAGTTTGTTTCAGTTTTTCATTGAAGCGCTGTGATGTTTAAGATGCCATGAAGTTCATGGCTGCACCATTCCACAAAATGTAAACACTGTAGATGGCTTGTGCTTAAACTTCAGCCTGCAGTACAAACTTCAGGATCTCCACTAGAATTTAAAACACAGTCTTGTGGGTTTGGACATTGCTGGGCTGCAGTGCAGGAGTTTCCACTTATTTTATATATACCATCACATGTTTCTTTAATACGATGAACACTAGTTTATTGTGAGTCAGTGCCACATAGTACACCACCCTGCTGCCTAAAATACTATAGTGCACCAAATCCGCAGCTAAAAACAAAGCACTTTTTGGTATGGTTTTGGTAATGTTTGCTAAAATCAACTGTGCATACTTGTGATAAAAAATATAAAGCCTATATAATTGTGACTCACTTTTAAAGATGTATGTCTTCAGTAGGTATGAATAGGCATGGGCCAAGTGCCACAGACAGCCGTAAGTTACGCTGTGTTGTGTTGGTCTTTTCATGGGGTTTGTTGACATTAACTAGAATATAGACTATCGCCTGTCTCAACTGCCTTCAATAATATATTTTCTCAATACCTGCAGAGAAGTGGATTATGCTGCAGGAGAAGTTTGAGATGTTTCTGTAGACTCTTTTTTTAAACACAACTAACGTGTTTCTTTGCCATGGCTCCTGGTCCATCCTCTGCATAGCAGCAAGTCACAAACTTTATAAAGCTACTGTTCAGACAAAAAGACAGAAATTCTTTGATTCTCAAAAGATACATTTTTGGAGGAGTGTCTCCTTAATAACTGAAATTAAATATTGTCTAATGCAAGTAAATGTTTCTTTGGTTCCTCACTTTCCAACATATTGCTCTCAGTATTTTTGCAACAGCTAACCTACTAGTTAGGACACAACATTGAATTGGAGATGGCATGTGATAATGTGACATGTAGTTTTAGTTTTTAGTTGTAGAAATTATGATGGAAGCAAAGGCTGAGAGTCCACGTTGTGTTTTTATTCATGTTCATGCTCATGTTTGTTACTCTAACCATGACAACAAAGGTCATTTTAACCCAAACATAATCCTTGACTAAACTTTGTCGTTTTTGTGTCTGAACCTAACAAAGCCTTAAACATATTGTCACATCATAAAACAGATTCTGAGAGTCAGATGAGAAAAGATGTTGATCTCTGGTCTGTAAGGTAAGCTTCCCAGGAGGAGATTAGCTTAGCTTAGCACAAAAACCTGAAGCTGAGAGGAAACGGCTAGCCCTGCTCTGTCCAAAGGTAACAAATCACCCTACCAGCACCTCTGAAGCGCACTAATAACCTGTAATCCTTGGCCAAAAAATAGTCTGGCACACGATGCCATTAAAACCGTAACTTTGTTTTTTCCTGTTTCTAATCTTCATGCAAAGCTAAGCTAGCAGGCTGCTTCCTTTACAGAGAGACGTGAAAGTAGCATTGTTCTTCTCATCATCTCGGCAAGAAAGCAAATGAGCATTTATCACCAAATGTCCAACTTTTAAACCACCAAACAAATTACTTTTGTCATGGCCTTCCCATACTTCCAGTAGTTGCTGAGGTAAAACATGAAGAAAACTGTTCCCAGTAAAAACACACAAAAAAGAACAAAATTAGTCACAGAGGACAGGAAAATACATTTCTTCCTGGCTATAAAGACTTTCCGCCCACTATAAAAATGCCTGAGTGACCACATATCTGGCTTTAGCTTTGTGAATCACTGACTTGGACCTGAGGTGACTCAAACCTCAAATATCAGGCTGTCGAATCCTTTTTGTGTGTCAGGGGTGAAACTGACCCTTTTAAAACTCAATGAAAGTAGAACATTTACCCTATGTCTCATTTCTTCTCAGTAAAATCTGAAGTTCACATCCTACAGTGACAAAGGATCAGTGTCCACCCAGCATCTTAAACAGTTATAGTGTTTCTCCTTGACACATTTTACAGTTTCCCAACAGAGCAGAAGTGTGAGAACATTACTATTACATAACACAGACACAGGGATGCATAAGCTATGTAATGTAATATGAGGATATACAGCAGGCTTGGCTTTCCTTTTAGAAACTGCAGAACACAAACATACATTTTGTACTCTAAATGTTCATCAATGCAAGTACTCTGAAACACAGATAAGTTTTCCCAGATTTATGGGTGTAACTTACCTCAAGTTGCTGCTGAGGAGCTGGTATGTGAATGCGTCAGTTTGAGGCTGGGATTCTGGGGAAAAATCACACATCCAGCTGACGTCAAGATGGGGGAAGTATCCCACAGAGGAAGCTGCAACTCACATTAAGTGAAAACTGAATTCAGGTTCAGGTTTAACATGTTTGTTCTAATCAGAACAGACCCGAACCAAAGACGATCCCACAGATGGTCTATTTTTTAATAACCATACAGTGGCATGCAGTTTGTTAACAGAAATCCCATACAGATATGCTCATGCTCACAACACAGCACAAAGTACATTTTTGTTTAAAGAAAACATGTTCTGTCATTTTTAATAATCTATCAGTAAATTTAACACATTAGTTAAATAATCTGATGAAGAATGACGTATTTCCTGACAAGAAATGCCCTAGGGGAAAAGGGTAATTTCCCGGTACCGTAGTATAAACACCAGCCAACTTTTGCTACATTCAGGTGCAATCGGACACATCTTCATTTGGACATGAACCCCAATGACTGACGCAAAAATACTGTAAAACTGACTAAAACTACAGTAGGACTTTCATCGCAACCAAGTTTTTGACTTTATTAGAGTATGGGCTAGTTATCAACAATTGATAAAAACAATGTTTCGTATGATACTACGTTGTTGTTGTTATTGATGAGTTTTTTTGTTTTATTTTTTACTATGCAGACATTGCCAATTAAGTTAGTCTTACTTTCATATGTTGCAGGCTATCTAAAGGATAGAGGGAGTCAGGGAGGGAAATATATCCCCTCGTATTTGTAAGAAGACAAAACGAATTGCGAGAAAATCTTTCAACATATCTCAGCTCAAAATAAACGTGTTTTAATATATAGCCTAATCAATCACGTGTCGATTCGTTAAATAAGGCTAATAATTCTCATAGTATTTGAGGGGATGAGCTAAGCAGCTAATCGACTGTATGCCTCATTGTATTTGGAAAGGTAAATTTACGAGGTTTGGAAAGGCAGCAGTGGGGGAAGTTCGCAGTCGGTTTTTGCCCTGGCAGCGAGAGAAGCAGCTTTGGGAACGCTGTCGTCGTAACGTTATGTCCGCACTGCAGCTTCCCAATAACACGAATGGTTATTTAGTGTCTGGCCGTTATAGAAACAAAGAGCATTGAGTCGCCGATTGATGTCCTCTTTAGCCATGGCTCTGGCTAAAACGAATCCACTTTTCCTCGTTCTTCTCGTCTGGATTCAGGCTGTCTCGGCCCAAGGTAAGAAACGTTCGCCAACGTTACGCTCATTCACTTTACATGTACTAGCTAACATCAGTTTGAGTTAAACTCGTAATATTAGCACACATTTGGCACGCCGAATAAATCATAGTGTGTCACACGACAGACGAAATTGTAATTCAAGCTGAGTGTCAGGTTGTGTGCGGGATGTCGTGGTTATTTTGGTTAAATATGTGATACGTGGACAGACCTGCTCAGGAAAACCGAGTTCCTGCTAACTCACGGCGCCGAGCCTGGTGTCAAGGAGCGTTTTTCCTCTGTAACCTGTCAACACACGGGCTTTGTCAACTGTGTTAACCGGGTATTTTAAGGTTAAAATGAAATAGTTTTATGTGAAGACGGCACACCAGAAAGACTGTATTGTTGTACAGTTTGTATACAGTATTTATACTGAATAGTAACGTTAGCTGGGAACAAACATCTTCAGAGCAATACAGACAGACAGGTTTGAGCATGAAAACATGTAAAAAACAACAACAGAGACCTATTTAATATACCACATCATTATTACTTAACTGTCAAAGAATAATTATTGTTTTAAATCAGACAGATTCTTACAAGTTCACTTATGGCAGATTGCAAGACCAAAACGCACAGATGAAGGAAATATGCCTCTTTTTTTGGAGGTTTTCTTCATTTCCTCTTTGTAGTTTTCAGTATTACCCAAGAGGTTTTGCTCATGTGATGTATTTCTGCAAAGTTGTTCAGTTTTCTCTAGACGAAAAGGTAAGCAGATGAATTATGTAGTAACACATGTGGGAACCAAACCCAGCAGAAGCCAAACATAGGTGCAGTTATACTTGAGAGATGGACACAAACTGGAATATTGTGCATTTTGCTGCACCTGCACGTGTTCATTTATTCTTAAGAAATTGCTGAAAATGGGGAGCAGTTCTTTCATTTTTGGCATATTGCTTCATTTGACACATAAGACAAAGAAAAGATCATAAACATGGGGCAGGGTTGTTGACATATGTTGAAGATTTATAATTCAGGGGATTGAGGTGACCTCTATGGCGTTACGTCTTTCTCTCCAACCTGTACCCAGGTTGGTGTGCTAATACCTGTAGTAGTAGTAGTAGTAGTAGTAGTAGTAGTAGTAGTAGTAGTAGTAGTAATCTTTATTTGTAGAGCACAACAAGTTACAAAGTGCTTTAACAAGTATAAAGACAATAATACAAAAACAATACAAGATAAAGGCATGAAAACATTGAAAAGACTAAAATACACGTTTAAGATAAATATAAAACTAGTAAAATAGAATAAAATAAAGGGGATAAAATAAAGTCAAATAAGATCGGGAAATGCTCTCCTATAAAAGTATGTTTTAAGAAGGGACTTAAAAGAGTTCACTGACTCAGCTGACCTGATTTCCTCAGGCAGGCTGTTCCAGAGCCTCGGGGCCCTGACAGCAAACGCTCTGTCCCCTTTAGTTTTCAGTCGAGACTCTGGAACAGACAACAGACCTCTGCCCGAGGATCTCAAGGTACGTGCTGGTGTGTATGGGACTAAAAGTTCAGAAATATAACAAGGCGAGAGGCCATGAAGAGCTTTAAAAGTGATCAATACAATTTTAAAGTCAATTCTAAAACATACTGGGAGCCAGTGTAATGAAGCTAAAATAGGAGTAATGTGGTCATATTTCTTTCTTTTGTTGTTGTTGTTGTTAAAAGCCTGGCAGCTGAGTTCTGGACAGTCTGGAGTCGATCAATAGATTTTTGGGTTAAACAAGTGAAAAGGCTGTTGCAATAATCCAGGCGTGATGAGATGAAGGCGTGTAAAATGGTCTCGGTGTTGATAAAAACATGATTGAACAAGCTTTGTGGTGTGCTGCTCAAAATTTAAATTACTATCAAACCTAACACCAAGGTTCTTTGCAACAGGCTTAATGTGATTTACTAGGGAACCAGCAGATGGCAGTATTTGTTTTGCCATCTGCTGGGACCCGATGACCAGGATTTCTGTTTTTTGAGTTCAGCTGGAGGAAATTATTTGACATCCATTTTTTAACTTCACAAAGGCAGTTGTTAAGTGAACTCAGCATTCCAGGGTCTGTGGATCTGACGGGCAAGTACATTTGTGTGTCATCAGCATAAATATGAAAAGAAATGCCATGTTTATGGATAATATGTCCAAGGGGAAGCAGATACAAGGAAAACAAAATGGGTCCCAAGACCGACCCCTGAGGCACACCATATTTAACTGGACAGAACGAAGAGACATAGTTGTTTACAGACACGCAAAACTTCCTATTTGACAGGTAGGATGAAAACCATACTAGGGCAGTACCAGAGATCCCCACCCAGTGCCTCAGTCTGTCTAACATGATGTTGTGATCAATGGTGTCAAAAGCAGCACTAAGGTCCAGGAGTACCAGCACTGAGCACATGCCTTCATCAGCAGACATTAAAAGGTCATTGGTGACTTTAAGCAGGGCAGTCTCAGTGCTGTGGTACTTCCTGAAACCAGACTGAAACTTTTCAAGTATTTTGTTATTTTCCAGTACAGTGAGCAGCTGTTTGGACACAATTCTTTCTAGAATCTTTGCAATAAAAGGCTGTTTTGAAATTGGTCTAAAATTATGTGGGAGGGAGGGATCTAAACAAGGTTTCTTTAAAAATGGGTTCACGCAAGCCGTTTTAAAATAATCAGGGACACAACCAGTAGATAGGGAGCTGTTGAAAACCGAGACCAAATGGGGCCCAACAGAATCCATTACTTTCAGTAAAAACTTTGTAGGTATTACATCAAGTGGGCTGGAGGACACTCTCATTTGTGATACTGTTTTTAAAAGCTCAGACAAGTCGATGGGATAAAACTGGTTAAAACAATCTTGTTGCTGGTGAGGAACCTCTGAGTAAGAGGCAGTGGGGGTAATAGAGGCTCTGATTGACACCACCTTATTGGTAAAATAAGATAAAAACAATTCAGTCATCATTACTTTCAGCTGAGGCACAAGGAGGGGTTGGGTTTACCAGCTGATCCACAGTCTTAAACAGAAACCTGGGATTGTGTTTCTGTGTAGTAATGAGTTGAGAAAAATAGTGCGTTCTCGCATCCTTAACCATGTTATTGTAGTTAATTAATAAATCCTTCAGACTGAGGTAATGGACTTGGAGACTGGATTTTTTCCATCTGCGCTCTGCTTTCCTGCATTCCCTTTTTAGGCTGCGAATGCTGTCATTTATCCAGGGTTGCTTACTAGCTTTAGACGTAGGCCTAACCTTTAGAGGAGCAGTGATATTTAGTGACGACAAGCAGATATGATTGAAGTGATCGACCAGATTGTTGGTGTTGGAATCAGACAGGTGTTGGTTTTGGCTCTGAAAGAATGTGCAAAACTTTGAAACACTTTTTTCATTAAAGATGCGAGAACACACGGAGCTTGGTGAGGCGGCATGAGTAACAGGCGAATCGCAGCTAAAAACAATACATCTGTGGTCAGATATGGTCATGTCCACTAATTCCACAGAGGAAATGCTGACACCCAGGGTAAAAACCAAGTCCAGTGTACGACCACGGTTATGGGTTTGGCCTTTGACATGTTGTTTGAAGTTAAAAGAAGTGGCCATATTTAAAAAGTCAGTTGCATTAACAGTGGTGGGGTCATTATCATGAATATTAAAATCGCCACAAAGAACAATTCTGTCATAATTTAAAACCAGAGTAGATAAAAATTCAGGAGGTTCTGATAAAAATCCTCCAGGCAGTTTTGGGGGGCGATAAATTATAACAAATATGATAGGTTGCAGCCCTCCACAAACTGGAACATTGTGCATTTTGCTACACCTGCACATGTTCATTTATTTTGAGAAAATTCCAAAAAGAAAAAGTCGAGCAGTTTCTGTATCTTT